GACAAAAAACTTTTCTAGCATATCTAGTCCTCTAATTTCCTAGAGGAAAGATGTCATATCTGAAGTCTCCCAGAAAACTACTAGTTTTTTGTGGAAGCCAGAGGAGGGATTCATTCAGGAAATCAGCTGTTTAAAATCCACTTCAAGATTCTGCCATTCTCTTTGTGAGAATAAATGGTGTAATTTCCCAGCTATTACAATCTACACTGGCAGTAATTTTGCCCTTATGCTTTAGCAAGACATATGTAGAGAAAGTCTATTCCAACCCATCCTTTAAAAGATATTAGTATTGTAAAAGAGAGGTTGTTTCCCATGTGCTGAGGACAGGAAACCACATTAGGACTTTAACATGAAGCAAGATTATGTAAGTGGAGTGATCAAAATGATAAGTGGGACTACGTTTCATGGAGGGAACTGGATGGGTTACAGTATCTAATTAGACTGTTTGGCACATGCTGAACCTTATCTGCAGTCTATCACCCTATTACCCAGACTCCACCCAGCTGGAAAGTCCCTTTTATAGTTTCCTTTTGAAATTCTTTGTGGTACCTTTGTAAGAGAAGTCCACTGTTCCCCTTCAGGATTCAGCCACATATTTCCGTCTCGTAGCCGAGAGGTTTGAGACATCAGCTTCTGCAACAAGAAGGGTCAACATTATCTCTGGAAAAACCATCCTGTCTCTTAAAGGCAATCCTCACTGGGAATTGAGAACTTCAGAACTGCAGTGATAGGGAGCCCATGATCAGTGCTGGCTGTAGAGCCTTGGCAGGTACAGGGTTTCCAGCAGTGCCTGGTGCCACTGCCTGTGCTGCACTTGTCCCAGTACGCCTGAGCAGAGGCGTAGCAGCCAGGTAAGGTCCACCCTTTTCATGACACATGGGGAGGAGAAGCAGCTCCTGGCCCTGGCTGTTAAAGGAACAGCAAACCTGCCTCCCATAAACACACTCTGTCATTTATCTTTCACCTTGAAGTACACCTCCATATTTAATACTTATTCTAAGGCTGCATATATCACATATCCAAAATTAAGGAAACCCCTAAATTTTCCAAATGTTCCTTTTGTAAATAAGTTCTTACTCTCCAAGCAGTTTTCACTTCCTTCCTATGGTTTACTATAATTTTTAAATTTTCAATATTGAGATCTTGAAGCACTGACCTTCTTCATCCTGTGTAGAATTATTATAGTCAATGGTAAGTCAAGAAAGTAGTATCATCTTTGCAGTGCATGCAGCATAACCAGTCGAGATCCCAGATGCCTTGCTTTGTTCTGTACCTTTCTTACCTGAGACAAAAGGCCATCTTGTTCCATTGTGGTTGCAGTCACATCCAAGTCCTGTGTTATCTGAGGCAATGCAATTTCACATCTCCCAGCTTCCACGGACACCAGTAGTTCAAATGTCTCATATGCAGGTGAGCAACTATTTTATAAACTGACTCAGAGCCCCACCTCTGGTTTCTTAAAGGCAGTTAAACCCTCCCATTTTCTGAAGATGAATCCTGTGGTCATATAAGTAGGAAAAAATACCTTTGCCTATACAGTGCGTGGAAGTATGGTGTTTGAGTCACTTTGCTCCATACTGGTCAATGGCAGGTTTATAACTAATGGTAAGAGAAGGATGTCCTTTTATCTGAGCACTGAACTTTCAACTAAGCAAGACCTCAAAGCCTACAGAAGTACATATTCTATAATAAGATACAGCAAAGTACATAAACTGAATTTAAGTTATCTGTGACAGTAAGCAGATAGAATAAAACAGCTAATGAAAAAAAAAAAGACACAACACTATTGCTCAGAGTCTAAACTGGTTATTGCAAAAACCAGTTTAAGGCTTTCTGAGCTATATGCCCCTACAGTCCCAGGTCTAGGCATGCAGAACAGATACACTCATATGGTGGTTTATGTCTACTCAACCTAGGTCCAGCAGGGCTGAGTCTATCCTGAAGTCATTGTATTCCTTCCCTCTTCTTTCTTATGGCTTGTTATTATTACTTATGTGCTTTGATGTAGAGTCCTGAAACAATGACTTTCCTCAGCTTAGCTTCAACCCCATGCATATTTCTGCATTGCTTTCCAGCTCAGATTGACTCTGGCTGCAAACTAGCTGCATTTAAGTGCCCATGTCTGACCCAATGAAATCTGCCAGCAAGATGCAAAACTCAGCACTGACCATGTGCTGCCTTCCTCAAAGTCCTAATCACATCTGTGAAACCAGGACACCTGCCCCTATGAGCATCCAGCTGATCCCTATGCCACCAAAACTGGCATGACTCCCAACTCACTAGAAGCAGATTAAAGAAGGCAGCCAAAGACTGTTGCATCTTCAACAGGTCAAAACAGGACAAAATCTCTGGGGGAGGAGATTCCTTTGTTTCTCTTCTCCCGCAGTACATCATCTATGAGCAAAAAGTGCTTATTCTCTGAGTATTCTTGAGCTTATTGGTTAAATGCTACCACCAGCCAGGTCCCCTTTGCATATTCCCCTGCAAAATAATATCAACAGTCATCATGGTCAACTTGGTAGAATAAATTCTTGGCATAGGCTGTGGTATTTTGTAACACCACAAAGGGTTGCATCTACATACGTTTCATTTGTGTGCCAGTTGCAATGATGTAGCTTGATGAAATGTATTTTTCATTAGGTCACAGAAAACCCTTGGTAACATCAGCATCTTTCAGTTATGGTTAAAGATGGTGAGTTATAATGACATTTCCTTGGAGGGCAAAGTTACACACCAGACTGTCCACCAGGACTGGGACTCTGAGCCTGTCACTCCCGCAGTGCCAAGGGTCAAAAAGCTCTCATTTTCATGAACAGTGTTTGCAATCCACATCAGAGACAGCCCTTGCAGGAGGGAGGGACCATGGCTCACTGTGTACCCCTGCAATCTAATACATTCCTTTATCCATAATGCTCACAGCAAATATTTGGTGTGCTCTTTACAGAGATAACAACAGTTTTGTTTTTCAGGAACAAGAAACACATTGTGAACCTGAGCATGTTACTGAAACGTCTGAAAATGTGGAGCAAGGCAGAATTTTCATTTTGCAAACAAGCCTTTATTGTCTGGTACTGTATACACAAAATATTTGCATGTAAATAACATTTCATCTGAACTGGAGGAGGCATGAGTTTAGGGCTAAAAACTGTGTTTATCTTTTCACAATAGGATTTTCAGGTAAAAATGGAGGCAATTCCCAGAGTTATATGCAGAGCACATAGCATACTATTTCTGATTATGACTAGTGAAACTACTATATAACAAAAAAGATACCAGCAGAAGTTCAGTTGTTCAAAACCTAAAGGGTTTCAAATGTTAATATTTATGCTGTGATCTTTAGGCTTGCAACCCTAGGCTACAGTTGCACAAAAACATAAGGTTTGGTTCGACATAATGAAGGACAAAAGTGTTGGCAAAAGTCATTGTGAACCAATTTGTAAAACAATTTGTCATTGCTTCTTGCCAAAACAAAAATCTTCAGAGCGATATTTTGCAACAAGCCAAACATATTATTTGGCTGCAAATGAAACCTGTTATTTTCAGGTTGGGTTCCCTGGGCTGACGAGGTAGGCAGTCTATTAAATAGAAGTTATGTTTCAAAACAAAGATGTTTTGTAAAATACTAACATGAAATGTTTCAACTTACCCAAGCAATTTACCTGGTTTATTTTAGGCCCAGATTATAACATCTGACTTTGTTCAAAATTTTTGCAGTTGTTGCTAGGACACAAAACCTATTAATGAAGTGTGCTTTTAATTTTAGTTGCTCCTGGAATGCAAAAGTTATTATGGATTTATAATTTTTACACTCTCAGCACAGTGCAGAACAGTTCAAAAAAGATACTTTCTGTAAAAGGCAAAAGGAAGAAAGTTTAAAAATGCAAAACTGCAACAAATATTATCAATGGTCTTGTGCTAGATACCATGGAGAATTTGTTCAGATTGTTTTAAGATGGTCTTAGTTGCTGCAGACTACTGATTCATTCCCACACAGTTTGTATAGGCAGAATTGAACAAATAAGCATTTTTGTTGATAGACATATGTCCAAAACTTTGAGTAAGACAACAAATTTTTCATTGTCTATTAGAAGTAAAATATTTTCAAGGACCTTTTCTTTTTAATTTAAGAGGTGTATTTCAATATGAGAAGTAATTCAATTAGGAAAAAAATTAAGGGTGTTTTATTTTGAAAGCTTCGAAATAAAATGTTGAGATTTCGTATACTGTCTCAGTACAAAACAATTAAAACAGACATAAATTCACAGGAAATTTTGGTGTGCCCAAATTACACCCTTTGCTTAAAAAAAAAAAAAAAGTTATGGGAAAAGTCTTATGCCACTTCCTCCTAAGTTGCTCCTTCCCATCATGTATGATTCATTCACAGACCAAGAGAGCCCAGGATGTGGATGCAATTCACGGGGCTCTCTGTGTTCACACACTTGTCCCTCCTTACATTTCCAACCTCTGTGGTTGTTCTTCAGGATGCTTGCAAAACAGAGTTGACCCAGGGATCCAACACCAGCTTCCAGTTGTGTCTCAGGTTCTCTTTGTTTTCCAGGGTTGGTTGTACCTTATGTTACATGAAGAAGAATTGTGGGAGAGGAAGTTTATACTCCCTTCTTATGGCCTGTAGGTGTGTTGGCTGCGTTGTATAACTGCAGCACTCTGGTAGTAAAAAATTATTTTCGTTTATGTCATATGTTAAAATAAGTTAGGCTTAAAACACTCTATTTTTAAAATCTAACAAGTATTTTAGATAAAGGATGTTCTACAGACAACCTTAATTTAGAGAACAAAATATATGCAAAAATTTCCCAGGCAATGTCATTGCCTATAGATGCCACTTCTTGGAATAAAAAAAACCCTCAGCCAACCACTGCACCACCTCGGGTAGTTTCTTTCTGTAGTGCAGAATAGCCAGTGTTGAAAAAGCCACGTCGCTTCTGTGTCCTAGAGCATGAAAAACCCCTCTGAGAAGAAAAGAGCAGTTGGATGGGCAATCAGCACATCTTCTGCCTTCTCCTTTGCATTGCTATCTGCAAGGCCTGCATAATCATGTCAGAGTTGTTCAGGATGTTGTATTCGCTGAGATTCAGCAGCTTGCGGTAATTTTCATCCGTGTACCTGACCGAGAACATGCAGTAGGGGGAAGAGCAGCTGGTCAAATCAAGTTGTCCTCCCTCCATCTCTGAGCAACAGCGCTTGACTCCTGGAGAGAAAGAGTTGTTGTTGCTGTAACATCATATTCATCTCAGTCAGTGTCTGGCTGCCCACAAGAACTCAGAGGGTGACTTTTCTCCAGAAGAAAATTCATAGGGTTTAAATGCACAAACAATGTAAGTCATGTTTCCCCACCCCTAATCTAGAGAATATTGTGGGCCTGAAGTGAGGAGGGCAGAAGGGAGAAGTGAGTAATGGCACTGTAATGGTTATCTACAGCTTACTCCTAAACATCTGTCTCATTAAAGCCATGGATCAGGCAAGAATGTCAGCCTGAAAGGGCACTTCAAAAGCCACTCCTGGTGCACTTCAGGTCTTATTTTAAGCAGCTGGGATTTCTATGAACCTCAACTGAGGAATAAGTTGCTAGCAAGACAGTAGAATTTAAATGAGAAAGGATCAATAGAAACATATGGAAACTTAGAGTTCCTGTGATCCCAAATGTGGTTGGATGGATGCCAGCAGGATCCATCTTTGCCTTTCCATTTCCTGTGTGGCCCGAATTCCACAAAAGCAGAATTTTAGACTTAACCTCCCTGCTGCCAAGAAACAGAACAAATGAATTCTAGTAATCTGTGGTAAAGAAGAGGAATACAAAGCAGATGGCTTGGCAGAAAAAGAGTGACAGGCCCTGCATTAACCCAGCCAGCAAAGATAGCTAGCAGCAAAGAAAAAGGCTCTGTCTGAGTCAAGGAAGCAGGCAGTAGTGTCTTTTTCAATGCTTTGCCACTATTTGTAACTTACCAGGTGCTTTGTACTCTTGGAAAGTATCATTCACAAGGGGAAGAAAAATCACAATTGGACATCCTGGCAAATCTGAATCATGGAAGAGGTAGCACTCCTTCAGATTTTTCTTTTCTTCGTCAGTGAAAGAAATTTTGGGGAATGGGATTTTCTGCTCCGAGTAGTATTTACATGCCTTATCTAGAGGCTGGAAGATCACAGAAATGGTCAGCCATGAAATTCAACTTTGTTGTCTAAAGGCCACAAATTGTCATCTAGTGTTAAGGTTTAGTGACTCAGATCCTTTGCATGAGTTCTTCCTTATCAAGGGTTATTCTACTCATAATTACAGCAGATAGTAACATTTCTAATCACAATATGTAAACAAAATTTCAGAGTTAGAGAATACATCCAGGACAATGCTTTTTTCAAAATATTGAAGCAATTTACAGAAGTTGAGAGTAAAGCACGAGTTTTAGCAAATAAAAGATCCTGTGTTTAATATATTGTATAGAATTAACTGGAAAAGAAAACCACACCAAGAAAATGTTTTAGGCATCTTATTATGTACCTGAAAGCCAGAAGATAAGAAAGTTAATTTAAAATGTGCAATTATGTCTCTGCCTGTGCAGGTATTATGGCACAGTGTTAATTGAGATTTATAGTTTACTGAGAAAGTCTGAAGTTCTAGGCTATACTCTACCTTTTCCCTGAAATGTTTAGTAAAATACCACATCCTAATACACACTGTGTTATTTACTCTGCACCATCTAATAGTGGACACTGTCAAGCAGAAAAATTTTCTCCTAAAATGTTTAAAATTGTAGCAACCTTTCTTCCTAAATTTTATCTGACAATGAATGAGGTTGAAATTAAACTTCATTAATTATATGTCTCATGCAACATACGGCTTATTAGGGGTAGTACAGCTGTTCTCATTCAGAAGAAGTAATTCCATTTGGGCAGGCCAAGATAACTAATAATAAGTTTCCAATTAACCTCAGTTTCTGATATCTAAAGACCCAAACTTCCTTACTGCAAGCCCTTATAGACAGCTAATTAACTTTATCTACATGAAACTGGGGTTTATGCAGGAAGATGTTTGTCACTGAATTTTACTTGTAGCATCTTATTTGTCAGCTCAGAAATTATCTGCTTCTGATATCCACTTAACCCTTTTTATATTCCAATTTAAGTCAAGAAATCACTTCCTCATCTTTATGAATATTCCTGTGCAAGGTCTGGAAACCTGCTCAAATCAGCATAAAACAGAAGAGCCTCTTTCCATCGTTCTGGAAAAGACCATGCTGATGTCCCCTTGAATAATTTGATATGTTCATAAACCAGAAGGAAGGATTCCGGGAAGAAATAAGAACAACATTAATCCCTACAGTGAAAAAACACTGGGAAATGCAGACATCAAAAACTGAACAGATGAAATAACCAGCAGTTCTAGATGTTACAGGCTGGACATTTACAAAAGGAAACACAACACATGGTAACAAGAAGGTCCTCACCGATGTATGTGATCCAGTCGTATAACTTAGATATATGATGACATCCACTTCCCTCTGTGGCCTTAAAAGTGGTGCACTGCTGGTATTGATGAAAAACCCAGCATCTATCATGCCTAGTTGATCAGGATTTTGCACCAGCTGGTTGGGACGTGAGTCTAACACAGTGTCTAAAAGGAAAATATTTCTTGGAATAAGAATTGATCTGCAGGTATTTTGACCAGAAAAAAAAGAAAAGTGTAAAGTGGAACTGACCATCCCAGAGGCCTCGTTGAATTTAATTGCCATACTACTGGACTGTCAAACAGGTGCAAGTAGGACTGCAAAATGCCTAAACTCCTGTTCTAAAAAATCTTCTGGGTTGAGTTTCCAGGGAATATATTCCACTAGTATGTAGTACTCATTAGTGCAAGTAAGCTACATCTAATGAATAACCTAGATCTGCCTTGCTTAGTTTCAATCATTGTTTCATCTGTTATCTATAACTGATTTGGAGAACAAACTATTCTCAATCCTTTATACATTTGGATTTATGCCTCCCCCTCAGTCCCCTCTTCTTTGGACTATAAAACCCCATTCCTTTCTAGCTTTCTCTTGTAGCTGACATTTTCTTGGATATTCCAGTTGCATCTGAAGTTAGAGGCACAGTCTTGCCAAATAAAGCTTTCTCCCATGTTCACTCTTCTCTCTGCCACTTTAAATTTGGTTCTGTCAGCTGCAAGCCTGACCTCTCAGTCTGTACTGCAGAGGGCTCAGCCAAAGCAAATAAACATATATATTTAAAAACAGTGGCAACTCTGAAGTTTTAGTGTCTCATCTCTGTTCAGAAAATAAGCATTCTCTCAGGAGGTTTTTTTCCACTCCCAAGACTGACAGGCTTCTTTCCTAAATTGTCCACCCTGAAACTACTGAAAATTATGCCAGTCCCCATCACCTTTCCATTGACAAAAGTGCTCATTCTCCATGTAGTTGTTATGCAGCTGGTAGCCCTTCAGGAAATTGTGGTGCTGGGCGACAGAGAAACGATCAGTCAACGCTCCCCGTAGGGCACTGGACAAGGGGCCAGGAGGAGTGTACATGCGAGTCCTCAGCTCATGGGGCCTTGTGGGCAACACGGGGTCTTCATCTAGAGGAGAGCAGAAAAGATGGCGAAGTACTTGTTAAATAATGTTCATTTCTGGCTGCCCTGGTCTTCAGGGGCTGTTCTGGGATGATTCACTAAATACACACAAACTATTCTGAAGGAAAGGAGTGGCTGCTGTTAAAAGCTCTGATGATGGTCTTAAGCTTTGGCCTAAAGACAGTTCATCAGAAGCAGTCTTTAGTCCTGGAAAAGACATCCCTCAGGAAATAAGAAATTCAGAGAATGTTCTGTCAGAATGAAAGTTATGTGTCCTCACAGGAAGGTATCATGAAACAAAGGCAATCATGGAGAAAATGGGGGTGATGCATATGCTACTCCTCCGTCAGGTGGGCAACAGCAACCACGGGGTCTATTGCAACAGTGGCTGCTGCTACCTGATATTCACTCCTGGCAGCATGAACATGTACTTAATCAGCAGTGAGAGCAACCCAAGAAAACCTGGGGCATGCATTCATATTCAGAAACTATGTCTAGTTTTTAGGGTGGTGTCATGTAATTCGGCAAGAGGTGTGGTTTCTTGAAACCACAACCTGCTTTGCTAGACCAAGAGGCTGACAATGCAGCAGGAGAGACTTGGTGGTTTGTATGATTGCACAGATGTATTTCTTTACTTTTCAGGATGCCTGCAATTATAGTTACTATCATCTTAAATGATTTAGCAGTAAAGTCATGGTTTCTATATTGCTTCAGAAAATACCCTCTGGGCCTTATTTATCTTTGTGCCAGGATGAATCCTGTACACTAATTACTGTACTGAGTAATAAAACAAAAACCCAGGAAATATTATTTACCAATTGATATTCAGGTTTATTCTCTGCACACGCAGCAAAACCAGCCATGTTCTCTGCCACTGGTTCTTGGTTCTATATGGCTGAGAGAGAGTGGGCAATGCCAAAACACTTTTTGAGAAATGTCTGACCCCTCTAAAACTTCTTTTTAAGGAATCAGTAGAGCTTTAGTAAGTCTTGTAATTACAGGAGCCTTTCTCTCATTACCCTCTTCCTATTAGTCTATACAAGTTGCTATCTCTTAGGAAGATCCTATGATATTAGATTCAACACAGTTGACATGATGATGCCAAAAGTTATCCAGAATACTAAACGTCCATAAATGAAAGGCTTAATAAATTCTCACCAACTTCTTCTATTCTGTCTTGTGTCCACCTCTTCCAGAAGTCCTCTGAACTGTGGGAAAGTCCCCATATTTGTAAGAGGTTCACAGAAAATATACTGCTCCACATACCTGTAAAAGGAATTAGTGAACACAAGGGCACACTCTAACAAGAAAATGCATTTTTCCTTCTATTTTGACCTCTTGGCTTCATTTTTGAACTGGCTTAATACAAATATTTCTGAAGTTTCACACTGTTAAATTCCTCTTAACTTTCTATGGCATTATTCCAGGTCATGCTACTATCAGCTTTGAGCCTAACCTACTGCATGGCTCTGCCACATGGTAAAGGGAGAAAAGAATGTGAGACAAGTAAAGGAGAAAAGACCCGACTCACTCAAGAGACAAAATAAGAGTTTAGATAACACAAACATCGCAAACATATCCTTTCCATTCCTGTCTTCCTTACTCCGGCTTTTTTTTTCTTCGCATACTCTGATCACCTTCCACACACCCTGAATTTTTTTCAAAGTGGGATGAACTGGCTCTTCAGATGTTTGGTTTGTACAAGATCTCACATTGCATCATGTAAAGGCTCACAGATGCAGTGGACTCCAGCTCCACTGTGCACTCTTCTTCACCCAGGATTGGCTCTCTCTGCTTCCCCACTGGGGCACTGGTGGCTTTGTTGACAAGACATCATGCTATCATTTCATCTGCCATTGCAAATTTAAACTATACCAAATTGGTCTTAAGTTGGAGTGCATTCAGAGAGTAATCAGAAGAATAACCAAAGAAGTGGGGAAATATTCCCTACAAGGAAAGAATTAAGGAGCCTCATCTATTCCACTTCAAAGATACAGACATGTCATCTACCAAGACAGTGACAAGAAACTAAACAAAAAGACGTGGGGTTTTTTACTGTATTTTTTTGGACAGACTACCATTCCCATTTCCTAGCAGGCAATATCATAGCAGTGCTTAGTATGTTAGAACAGAAACATCTACCCTGTGGTTAACCACCTTGCATCCCTCCCAAGTGCTTCTGTGACAGGACAACGCAGTACATCACCTTGAAGGTAGCAGATGCGGGATTCAGGGAGCTTTTTTAACAAGCGTCCCATGAAGAACTCGCTTCCAAAATTCTCTGTGCGAACGAATGCGCCGTACTTCAGAAGTCCCACCTCGTAGGGGGTGAACTCCACCCACTCTGTAACACAGCCACAATGGGACACTTAGAAGGCTCCCAGACAGATGTGGAGAGAGGGACAGCTAGGGTATATGTTGTTTACTATGTCTTTACTATGTTGACTTTTCAAAGCCTCACTCATAAATGACCCTCTGCAGGATAGGCAGCTGAGCTCAGACACAGTGGCAATGGGGAGGCAGGAGCAGTTTTGCTGTTCATGATGGTGTCTCCGAAGGCAAAAGGTGCACAACAAAGCTCCAGATCTTACACATGCTGTGTGCTTGCACCAGTCCAGGGTTTTCCAGCATGTACAAGGTTTTGCTTTACCTTTCCATACACCACGTCTAGGTGAGAGTACTTCCACTGTTATCGATACAGTCAATTTAACTTCACTTAAATAATTTATGTACAAAGACAGGTACTCAGCTCTTCAGAAATTATATTTTTATAAGAGAGCAATTCTACTCTTTATGTGTTGTACTGAAGAAGATTGAACTATTCCTTGACTTTATTGGATATCCTCTCCAAGTTAAGTGCAGTTGTCCAATATAAGTGCAGTGTGAATGAAAACTGGGACAGAAATGGCATAGACCATAATTTCCTTTTCATTCGGAAGTGGTTCATTTTTTCACCTCACCCATAACAAAATTTGATCTCAATTTTTGTTCTGTTTCTTCTCCTCATCTGCTTCCCCTCATGAAAAAAAGAAAAAAACCCAAAACAATGAGAGAAGAAACAGGTTTAGTAGCGAGTAGTTGAAACTATAACTGGGAATCAAGAAAAAGCAATTCTCAGATAATTCCAGTTGTTCTCATTCTAGGAAGATCTGATAATATTTCAAAAATGGCATTTCTGGCAGAATTTCTACAGTGTATGACTAGACAGTGAAGTGCTGCTCCCCAAAGCCCTTGTATTAAACCTGTAAGGCATGGAGGTGACGGTTATTTCTCCAAAAAAGTGAAAGAAAACAATTGTTTTCTCCAAGTGCTACCAAGTAGAGAAGATGAAATCACAGCAATTGACACACCAATTTTAGCCTCACATGGTCTGAACCACCATCCTTACCTTTGAAATCATTGGTGCTGTAACTGTCCCGGACGCTGACTGCCACATAGATGGGCAGTGGGTTCTGGCCATCACAGAGTGCTTCTTGCTGCTCTGAAAGTTTGTGAGGGTCTTTCTAGTTTTGAAGGAAAAAAGAGGAGAGAGAAAACTATTTCTGCATACATGTCTGTACATCCTAGAAAGTATTTCCCCAACAAGTAGGAGGAGAGGTAAGCTGCTCCTTAGGCTGAGGAGTGTAGTGAGCCATCCTGGTTTCCTGAATCTGAAAGAAGCCCTTGAATATATTGATACTTAAGTGTCCTTTCTTACTACACAACAGCAATCTCAGTCCAGCCTTGCAAGAAGACTGGAATTTGGCATTATTTGCATCCCACCCAGCTTCTTTTCTGAAAAAGAATATACATCATACCCCATCATTTAGCAAGTACTCAATCATGAGACCCCAAAGATCTATAAATGATGTCCTGTATCCCTCTTCTTTCCGCTGACAAAGCTGCTTGTTGTAGTACTTCATGCGATCCATAGAGAAACAGCCCATCTTGCATTTCGTTGCTTGTTTCTGGGCTTCACCAATATGCGAGTCCAGGTCTTTCTGTGACCAGTAGGCATCTCTGTATAAGTTGGCCATGGTCCTGGAGAAAGATCATATAGACAGCAAAAGTCAAAAGGAACAGAGGTTTACACTCAGGGATTCTCTTCTGCTCATACATACTCTGTTTTTGCTGCTCCATCTAGCAGAATGAACACTCCAGAGTTTCTATGACTCTTTTTAAAGAAGATTAAGGTGGGTTTGTTTATGTTCCTGACATTTTTAATTTTTTTTAATAGAACTGGTAGAAGCTAAAGGGATAAAATTTCCTGGTGTGAACATAAGTACGTTTTTGGATCCAAACTAGGCAGAAAATTAAAATAAATTTTCTTTTCTTGTATTTTAGAGCCTTAAATTCATCCACACCAACTGCTGTCTCTTGGCTTTGATTCACTTAGTGTTACTCTTATGATATCTTATGATATCACTATCCTTTATAAACACTACTCGCTATTTTACTGGCCTCCCCTACAGGAGACAATCACACATTAGGCAGCTGTAGGTCCTGTGAGCAGCGAATAACACTACCCAGGACAATGTAGTCCTTTTACAAATTGGTTGCACTTTTACAACTTTTACAACAGGTTGCACTGGTAAGTGTGCACTATCCTGCAGTTTTTTCCACATGACCAGTTAATCAGAACAAGTCTCAGAAGTTAATGGGAACCACAACAACTGGAACATCAGTGGAGAAAGGAAGAGGCATGATTCTATGGGCATCCACAGTTACATCCACAGTAACTACTTAATTAGAAAACATTTTGACAAGTGTAGTTGTCTGCACATTTAACTGCTGCAAACCTGGAGCTGGTAAGTGCAGTCAAGAACTTGCTTATAAAAACAAGAGTGCATCAAATCAAGCTAATATTTATTAGCTTTATTATTAAATCAAGCCTGTTACTGAGAAACAGCTTGTTTCTATGACATTTGAAGAAAATCTCCTGATCTTGTCTGCTTTTAGAAGCAACTGTCTGCAGCAGTGTCACTCAAAAGGCCTGGTCAAGCCTCCTGCTTGAGATGGCTTACCATGTGGTGCCGGACAGCCCACTGATGTATGTTATGCAGTCCAGGAGATTTAATTTCTTGAGTCCCATGAGGCTGCCATACAGTCCTGTCATTGACTTCAGTCCTCCACCTGTCGTGATGATAGCCACAACGGGGACCTGTTGGCCAGAGGGAGGATGAGGCATTCACACCAACAGCATTCAACATTGCATCCCAAACTGCAGTGAGGTTTATTCACCACACTCAGCCCAGGTCCTGATCACAGAGCCCAGATACCTTTTCAAAAGGACAGACTTCAAAACCAAGCAATGACTGCTACTGCTGCTTCCTTTTAGATAAACATGAGTTTGGAAATTAAACCAAATCTGGGTTCTTGCCCATCTCTAGGACAAATAGGGGCACAGATTAATAAGAAGAAACCCTTCTGTAGAAGGACCAATGTATTTTCTCTGCATCTCCCACTCCTTCACCACTTTTTTCTTATTTCAAACATCGACTACTACTGCGTGAAAATCCCCATGCCAATCCCATAAAGAAATACACTCAGTTCAGTCACTGTTGTCAAGCTACCATCTTCAATGCTGTTATTTTTCGGTATCATGAAGCTAATTTAAAATAAATTATATTTATTTTGAAGAATTTCAAAACTGCAAGATGTAAGAAGATATGAGAAGCACTCAGAGATGTTTGCCCTAAATTTCTACAAACATGAAATTTGAACAAGGGGAGAAATCTGTGCTGTGTAATATATTCAGTATTTCTGAACCAAGCCAGTATCAGCATAGCATGACAGGAAAGAACATATCTCAAATATGACAAATTCCAAATTGACAGTAATGAAGGATGCAATTATTGCAACTAGTGATTCTTGCAATAACAAACCTCAGCAGCACAAGCAAATGTACTTAAGACATGGGCAATTTGGTACCGGCACAACAGATGCATGTGGCACATTTTGCTGACCACTCATTTAGAAGAGTACATGAAGGCACTATGGATTCAAGTTCTATCCCCTCAATACAAATGTACCTCTTGATCCTGCAGTTCCTGTGGTAGATGAAAAACAGTTTTGAGGGCACTTGCTACATATCTCTTTCTTTTCCCCAGGAAAGCCTTTTCTTCTGAACATAAGTCGAACCCAAAGCGCATGTCCAGGTCTTGGTGGCAAGAACAATTACTAAGATAAAACCAGACACATATACTAAGTACTAATACACCCACATCAATCTTAGGACTTTGATTGAAGATAAACTACATCACCCTTATCTTGAAACAGGGTGATGCAACTTGACATGAACAAGAGAGAATATTCTAAACTTTTTTTAAAATTAAGAAACTTATGTCAACTAGTAAGCCTAACTAGTGACATTAGACCCCATTACTACTAATTGATGAAGAAACAATGTACAATATTTACAAATAAAACAAAATATTTCCATAACTATTCTAAGACTAAAACAGTGACAAATTTAGAAAATCTATTCCAGTGATCAAAGGGAGTGTATTGATTCCCATTTCAGATGTTATTTTCTCATTTTAAATCTAAAATAAATCCAAATTTTCAAGTGTTGGCATTTCCAACGTGAAGGAAAATTCTCCTTTTAAACAACTGGAGTGAGAACGTTTCCCCCTCTAGTGGTGAGCATCGCTGGGGAGGTTGGCTGTGGAACTTGGCTTGCTGAAGGAACCTCGGTGACATCCAGCTCCTGGATGGGTGTAGGTGGGTCACTGAGTTTAGTGGGGCAGGACTTCACCCTCGATACTCTGTTGTGCCTGCACTCGCACAAACTCTTTCACAGGTCAGTGCTGGAAGTTCTATTTGACATCAGCCTTGACTCAGAAATTGTAAGGCACAACATTTCTCAAATGAATATTTCATTGGTGTCTCTTCTGAAATCTAGTAAGTCATTCCTCAAGACCCCAGTGTTGCAGCTTATTTTCCTGGGCATTTGTGCTCTTCCTCTCCTGCACCTACAAGCCACCAATGGGCAAGAGATGGGGTTACGGTCAGGTCAGAGCTACCCATGGACTGCTTGGCTGGCCAGCTAGCCTTGGCCAGGCATTGTCAGATGGCAGAGGTTTTCTTATTCTTTCAGTGACAGAATTATCTCTTCTACTGAGTCCATAATTCCAATTAAACTAGTAATGAAATGTATTTATGAGTTTTCTCCACCTTCAGATTTGGAAAAAATCAGCCAAATTTTTACAACCTTATTTGTAAATGAAGACATACAAGGGGAATTGAGTTAGGTGGAGCTGCAAAAGCCTTTCTCCATTGTAAATCAAGATGCAAACAAACTGTTTTTAAAGTTCTCTGAAAGTAAAATAAATCAGTATGAAGTGTTTTTCCTGTCCTGGAACAACACTGGTTTTCCTGTTGTCATTGAGCACTTGCCTTTCTGAAACAAATGGTAGAAAACACTGTTTGAATTCAAAATTAGCTCATTTTCCCCTTTTATTTCTTAAACAGGCACACACAGAAAAACACCAGTTTGCCCAGTTCTGTGTGTTACATATAAATATGAATAACATGAAGCATCTTCATGTTTACTTATAAGTATTAATGAGCACATCTATAAATGTCAAATCACAATCCATATTGTTTACCTTATCAATATATAGTGTAACTGGACATAGAATACAAGGTTTATTGCTACTAAATAATGACTGTTAAGCAAAAAATAATTCATAATTTCTTATCAAGTTAAATGTTTACTCATGTCTATTCTTGTTTGGTGTTTTTAGCTAGCTTTGTTCTCTTTGTGAATTTCAGAGACTGACATTGACCGAAAACAATATTCTGTGGTCAGAAGGAGAGGGATAATGCTAAAATAAACACATGGTTATCAATGTTTATTGACTAACACCAAATCTTCCTAAGGCTAATTATGTATAATATATTGTTCATGTGTTTTATGTTTTATTATAACCTCATTCTAGTTTTCAGACTATGCTGGCTTCTGTAATTTCTATATGGCTAAAACAATAACAAAATTGATTAACTAAGTCTTTAGAAATAGAAGGAGATCTCTTACCAGGTTTGTGCTGTCACATTTAAGTCAAATCTTTTCTCCTAGAAAACAAGAACACATACTGTAATTTTTTAATTTTAATAAGACAGAAATTTCTTTTTTCCCATTCTGTCTTGGGGTCAGAGCTTGATTTATACCCCAGCAAGTCTGGTAGTCACAAAGTTAAATGTCTAGTTCTCAGCACCTATTGCCTAAAGCATTCACTTACCCTTAGTATAATATCCCTACCTACAGTACCCAAATCCTTCCAGGCTGCAGAAACCATTAACAATCTTGGTATAGGAGGTTATTGAGACTCATGGAGCAGGTCCCATTTCCTGCATTACTCATAAGCTTTCTGCAGCATCCTGAATTACCATTTTTTGTATATTTCTTGTTCTTTATGTTCTAATACACAGCACATCTTTGACATCCTGGCCATAGTCTAACAGTGAAGAGACTGCAAGTCTACATTTGCTTCTGCCAAGGCTTCATCCTGTCTTAAAATCACTATTGCAATTGTCATATTAACTGACAAAAAAGTGCTTTGTTCCGAGAATGTGTTTTAATGGTACTATTCAAGAATTGTGCTCATTCTGTTAAAATCCATACCTTATGCTTAATATTTTCAGTATATTTTAATGTATTGTCATTTGAAGTACATGGTTGACTAAGGGCAGGTTTATTGACATTTTCCTAGCTTGTGCTAAAGGAGCAACTTTTAGTTTGGACCCTAAACAAAGGAGGAATCAGTGAGTTTTTGGGTAAGTAGAGAGAGATGTACTGAACGAAGCATCTTATTTTCTGACATCCTTGTTGTTCTCCGTATACACTACTGGTACATAATGGAGAGTAGTAGAGTAGTAGAGAGTAGCCTCTGTGGAGAAAACATCTGGAGAAACAAAGGTCCTATCTGTGCAGATTCTAAGAAAAAATCAGAATGCTCTTAGCAGCCACCTGGGGCAAAATTATGGGGAATGGTTTCTACGTGCATGACCTTTTATTCCCAACAGCTAGAAGTGATTCTTACCTCTGCAATGGTTGTTTTCCTTCCCATGGGCAGTGAATTCAGCATCACGACTGGGGAGCCCGTGTCTGTACTGAACTTACAGGACAACTGGAAAAACAACATGCTTTAGGACAAAACCAGTAATGAGTTTACCCTGTCTCCCTGCTCCCACTTTCTTGAGAGACACCCATAATCACTCCATCACTGAGGCCACCCAAACTCACAGGGTGGTAGCGCCTCTTCTTTGGCAACATGACATCCAGTGTTGGCTCCGCGTACTTGATGTAGTGGAACTTGGTGGGACATGATGGGCTGACCACTCCGTTGGGGCCCAGCGTGATATCCTGTGTCCCCTCAAAGGAGCCCTTCACAGTGAGGGAAAGTTCTTTCTCTAAAGTAGCAAAACAAGCCATGAGAAATGTTGATATGATTTAAACAGAAAATTGTGCTGTCTTGATTAAAAGTGGGTAGCAGAGCTGTAAAATTTGGACCAAGCTTTGCCCAGTAGGAAGCACTATGAAGGGGATGCTGGCAGGAAAGGGAAAGAAGCAAAGCAGATGCTATTTTCATAGAAAGGCAAGTCTCAATGTTCTTGCTGTGATAAAGAACTGGGATTTCAGCTTTAGTGCAGATCTAAGAGGCTTTATTGATGTACATCTAGATGCAGTCACTGGAGTCTGTAACAACTTTATGTGTTTACCTGGTATTAACTTCAGTGAATACCGTAAGTACTTTTTATTCCACTGATACATTATATGAAAGGGGCACCTTCTCATCACTATCTATTATTTGTAAATAGATAACAAAACAATAACCTTACTTGATTTTTGCTTCATCTTCTCTGCCACTTCAACTTCCAAGCAGCAAAGTTCACGACACTGTGAAAGACAGAGTGCAGGAATATGTGAGAAAGATCATCACATCTCACTCTCATTATGGGGAGCTATGAATCCCTCAGCTATTGGCCATGTGTAGTCACTTGAAGTTCTTGATTTCCTGACATTTCTGGGCTTTTTCCCATGAGCCACTAAGGAAAAGGAAAAGCTTTGGACAGAGTTGCATGCATCTTCCAGTGACAATGACATATGATTGGGCACAGTGAGAGGAATTTACAAAGGAAGAAAATTAGGAGCATTTTCAGGATAGTAGCCTAAATACAATAGGTTAAACTGGGAAAAAATGTAGAAGAATGATATGTTGCTGAGAGATCAAGAGGTAGTAGTAGAGAAAGGGTTTTCTGAAGAAGGATTGCTACCAATATTTTGGGTTGGTTTCTTTTTTGTTTACGACATTCATGCTTCTTTCACATCATATAATTATGATAGGTCAATATTTAGTGCAGAACTTACCCACAGAGCTTGGCTCATCTCCAAGTGTAGGAAAGGGCTAGATAGGTTATCAGCAACTGGCTGCACAGCATTTTTACCATTGTTCTCTGATAGACAGCGGTACCTATTTTGAAGTACTGGTACAAGAGGAAAACTCTGTGTATGCATGTGGTGTGTAGAAAGATACAATAAATGGGAAATAGTGGGATATCACCAACAAACAGGTAAATGAAATACCCAATTCTCAAAGTATCTAAATAGGAAAGAAGGAAGAAAGAGGAAGAACTGGCCAGCTGGTTTCTCTAACCCCCACTCTGCCTTCCCCTTTATATTAAGGAATCATTTAAAGAAAATATCTTAGGAAAGACACATACCACCAGCACTCCGTTGGTAGCAATCATTTCATGAGGACCAGAACTGGGAAACAAAATGAAAAACATGTACTTTTTAGATCAAACAAATTCCACTCATCCTTGCCCAGGATGCTGCCCTTTCTTCCCTCTTAGAAGAATGACTGAGAGACCCCAGCAGGTGTGTAACAAGCTCCTTGCCATGCTTGCTTGGACTGACCACTGCTCTGAGAGGACTCATCTCTCTACCAAAGCTGAGAAATATGTGTCATGGCTATCCTTTTGCAGTTCAATCTCATGATCACCAAACATAGGAATATGCAGTTAGGCAGTCAAATTCTTCTCATTAGAACATGTAAAATAAATGTATTTCAGCTGTAACATGTTAATACACCAGCATATTCCTGATGAGAAGCCAGTTCTATGTATTTGCTGGTATGTAAATTATAGAATCATAGAATACACTAAGTTGGAAGGGACCCACAAGGAACACTGAGTCCAACTCCTGGCACTGCACTGCCCCAAGAATCACACCATGTGCCTGAGTGCATTGTCAAAATGCTTCTTGAACTCTGGCAGGCTTGGTGCTGTGACTACTTTCCTGGGGAGCTTGTTTAAAACGGGCACAGGACAGCGGGTACCAATTACACTGGGGGGAAAAAATGCTTTTCAGATCATTCAGGTGAAGTCAGTAGATGGTGTGGAGTGACTTGACCTCTGGCCTTACCTCCCCTAGTATAAGGGAGCCAGGCCTTATTTATCTTGTGGTAACACAGAGAAAAAAATACTGATTCAAATGGATGGCAAGCTGACCACGCTGGAGGAAGGGCCTTACACGAGAGTTTCCAACACACTGTCATTATGTTGGGCAGAAAGAAAACAGAATTACTAGGTCCCAAACAATGCTGCAAGGGAAAAGTGAAAGAATCAGAGATACACTGGAAACCTAACTAGGATGGTTCAACACTAAGAGCCTGTCCAACACATAACCTGAAACAGGCAAGGAAAAATTGATAGACATCAGTACTCACACACTCAGAAAGCCTTCTGATTTGTTCACGGGTAGACAAATCAAAGAATCATAGGATGGTTTGGGTTAGGAGGGACCTTAAACATCATACAGTACCAACCTCCCTGCCATAGTACCAACCTTCCACTAGACCAAGTTGCTCAAAGTTCCATCCAGCTTGGCCTTGTACACTTCTAGGAATAGGGCATCCACAACCTCTCTGGGTAACTGGTAGCTAAGCTACAGAACAAGCTAATCAGTCAGTTGTTGGGTACTGCAGCAATGATGGATAGGAGAAGGCTGGCACATTTTTACAGAAATACTACAAAGCATGACTACTAACACTGTTTCTTTATCATTTAGTGATTTTTGCATTTTGAAAATAATCTCTATATCACTTACGCAGACTCCAGCTTGAATTCAACCTCTAGCTCCTCCTTGGCCTGAAAGCAAGAACAAGATATTAAATGAAAGAGCTACATAATGCTTTGTCCCTTGTCTAAACCCAGGTCCCTGATAGGCAATATTGAAGTGATTGATTGCAATGCATAGCTTGTGATATATATTTCAGACTGGGTGGTCTGAATCAACATTTCAGCCAGATAGCTTAAGGATTCCTTCCTCACCTCCTCCCTTCCTTGAGGTATCATCAAAACGACCTATACTTCTATTTCTTAGTGTGAAGCTGCTGCGGAAAGACAATTTTTAGCTTCCTTTATATTCTGAATTCTACCTTTCTCTGCCAACTATTCCTGGCACTGTCCTGCCATGACTTACTGTACTTGCTATTATCTTGGAAATTTAAGGTACTTTACACCCATCACTTTAACCTAATAAACAGAGACTGGTATTAGTGAGTGATTCAGAGTTAATGTTGTGCAACCTCCCATAAGGCAGTGTTGAACTGCATGAGCTGGTTGTGAATGACCTAGTTTGGTTACCGGAAGCAATTTGTACATGGTAGCAAGAAGTTACATGCGAGATATTTTGCTGATCTCATCCTTAGATTTCAAAGGGAATCAAGATTCTTTTTCCCATTTTATAGATGGTAAACTGAGAAACAGAGTGCATCAGCCATTCAGTGTGGGATACACACTATGGCCACTTCATCTTTGCTTTTTGGGGTGAAACTACATACAAGCAAAGGGGCAGTGGGTACTGATTATGAATTACATGGGGGGAAAAAAATTACAGATTATTCATCCTGCAACAGTTGCATAGCCTTGGTCTTGGTCAGAGGTAGCTCACAGCAGTAGCTCCCCTACCTACCATACTGTTTCAGTCTTATGGTCTTTAATAACTTACAAAAATATTTGGAAGAGTGTCTCAGGCTCTCATTTTTTACTACATTTTTTGTGCTTATATTTTGAATAGCAATTCAAGTACTCATTATTGGGAGAAGTCATCTATGGCAGATTCAGAAATATTTTTAAATTGTTGTATAACTCTACACTGGTTTCATGATTGCTTTAGTTGCTTAATTGCTCTTACATTTGGGCTAGGCTTAAAGTACAGGACCACTGTTCTTTCAATTGGAAGTTTAGCAGTATCAAAGATTGCACAGAGGAGATGGTCATCAGGAGTAGCAAAATCCTCATCATACACTGTCAGCTCCAGCACATTCTGGAAAAAGAGAGAGAAGTTTTTTTATAGTTTCTGCAGTCGGGATATCATCCCTCTTTGCAAAAATGTAAGTAGAATATTCATTCTTTCCTGGTTCATTTTAATTGCTGTAACATACCATATTGACTATACCTATAAAACAACTTAGTTAACTCCTAAATTCTGAATCTATCTTGCACTGACTCATAAGAGTCTCTAGTTTCCCTAAAACTTCAATTCTGAGTTCAGTTTCTGTGCCTCCTGAGCAGAACCAGTCAACAGACATAAGAATTTGGTTATCTCTGCTGTTAAACAGTTTGAAAAGTCCTTTATCATGAGTCATCCCTTAAACAATTCCTGGGAACAGTTCAGGAGATAGATACAAAAAGTCTTCAGGCTGCATCAGGCAGACAACTTTGCTTCCTTACCTTGACCTGACTCTGGATTCGGAAGTAGAAGGTTTCATTCCACACTGGATTGTTGGAGTTTCTCACAGTTTTAGTGCGTGACTTTTCACATGTCGCAGTTGGCAGCCACAATGAGACGTAGCAATCAGCCTGGCTTACTGAGTAGGGAAGAAACAAAACAATTGGGAATGTGACAAAGTCAGCAGTGCTGCGTGACACTGGAAAGGTTACTCCATGGTACCAACAACAAGCAAAAGTTATTTAAAGACAGAAATGCCTGTTGTAATGTCACTCTTTCAAGATTTCCTTCTGAGAGGGAAAAAGCACAGACCACAAGATGACTTAGAACAGAGGGTGGTTTCTATCCTTCCTTGCATGAGTTGCAGACAAGAGTGATACTGTATATAAAAGAGTGAGAATTTCCTCTTCTAGTCAGCCATTTCAGTTTCTCAGCCAACAAGCTTTCCTGTGCTCACACATGCATGCACACACACATGCACACACACTAATCCTCCGCTGCTGTCTGATAAGAGGGGCCTGGGACCCTTTTGAGAGCAATTGCAAAAAGCCTCCATCTCTGCCTTGCCTCCAATGATTTTCTTGGTGAGGGTTTGTGAAAACAGCTGCAGAACAACCCCTGCTGTATGAGGTGGCAGAGGCTTCCTCCAGAAGGAGCTCATTGAATTAGACATTGTATGTTAAATAATTGCCACATCCAGGAAGAGAGGGACTCTTCCAAAATGCACTGATAGAGGGTTAGTAAAGGATTTTACATCCCATTTCTCCCAGGCACCTAAATTAAGGTATATCTCAAACAGGTATACCCAAAAATGCCATGTACTGTGTGCTGGGGGAATGCAGTTTCTTCATACAGGTTATGCAAAGTACTTCAGTGCTTTGAAAACCTCTCTTATAGAGTTCTTAACAATAATTAACATGAAAATAAAAAAGATGATGATGATTGAGATGATGAAAAAATGATCGGATATTGTCTAATGCAAAAGGTAACTAGCTTTGAGAATAAATGTCCCTTGATATGAGACTTTTGAGAGAGATGACAGCAGTTAATGGAGAGGATCCTTCAGCACGAGGTAAGTACTCTGCAGACAGAGCAGGGAACAAGAGCTTGCACACTGACTTGTAGGGAAAGACAAAGACTTGCCAATCCCCAATAGGAGCTTTTTCCTTGCTTCTCCTTTTCTTCTCCACTAGGTTTTGCCAGGTGTCACCATATAGCCACTGACTGTCTCAAACTGTTGGAAGGCTGCATTTTATTCTGTTGAAAGTATATTTGTTCAAGAAACCTTATGCTTTTCTAAGTCAGAGCGAAGAACTGAAATTCAGAACTGAGGAGAAATTATATATTGCATTGTGATAGGTCAACAGACACCTTAATTATTGTTTTTCTACTTTTAAATATTATAATGCAGAAACAAACAAAATTCTGTTAGATTTTTTTCTTTAAAAAGTTGTTGAGAAATCAACATATTCCTGTAGAGTCAAAAAAATATTCCTCTTATGGAAAAGTTTGATTGCAAAATATTCAGCAGACCCTAGGCTTCTCCCTCTCCTGTCCTTTTCTACATTCCATATCTTATTTTGGATTTAAAAAACCCAAAGATTCTGACAGCAGTTTCACTTTACTTGTCTAGAGTTGTATTGTCTGCTTTAGTTCTACCTTCCCACCACTTTTATCTCTTGGCCTCCTTCCCTCTACTTTCTTCCTGATTGTATTAGGTGAGAGGACATTTCATTTCCAGTATTCAGGTTCCCTCCTCTCCTTTTCCCCTCCCCTCTCTTCCCTTCAACTTTCCTTCCCCTGCCCTCCGAACCAAACCCCAAAAGGAAGGAAAAGGGCTGCCTTCCTTCTATGTTCAAGCCCACAGGTGGAAACAACAGAGACTGCCCCAATAGCATCTGTTATCCCTCACACAGATTGCATGGTGTGCTTTGCAGACTGATGACCTGAGAATTGTGATTCCCAGGCATGTCTGTTCACTTCAGACACCCATGCCCACTTCGCACATAGGTCTGGGAGGTGCAGCCAGGTTTTACCACTGCTGGGGTACAGATAAACAATAAGCAGCATCAAAAGATCCACATTTTAAGAAGAAGGATGTGAAAGTCATTGAATGTATTCAGAGGAGGACAACAAAGCTGGTGAATGGGCTGGAAGCAATGTCCTGTGAGGAGCAGCTGAGGACTTGGGGATTGTCTGGTTTGGTGAAAAGGAGGCTGAGGGATGACTTGATTGCTTTCTACAACTTTCTGTGGAGGGGACACAGAGAGGGAGGTGCTGAGCTCCTCTCCCTGGGGTCCAGTGGCAGGACATATGGGAATGGTCCAAAGCTGCACTGGCAGGGTTTAAACTGGACAGTAGGAAGCATTTCTTTACCAAGAGGGTGGTCAAACACCAGAGCAGGCTTCCTAGAGGGGTGGTTGTTGTCCCAAACCTGTCAGTATTGAAGATGTATTTTGACAATACCTCTAATAACATGCTTTAATTTGATCAGCCCTGAACTGGTCATGCAGTTTGATTAGGTGATTGCTGTAGATCCCTTTCAACTGAAATGGTCTATTCCATTCACAATGGCAAAGAAACAGTGCAGTACACAGGTGATGCATGTTGCTGCAGGTTGCCTGCAGGGGACTGCTAACATTTAAAACATTGTCTGCTTATATCAAACATCTCTTTGGTAAGGGTAGGTCTAGGTAGCCTGACAAGTCTGACTACCTTACATATTTTGCCTTGTTTAGGCACACCAGAAAGAGGAACGTAGAGACTCACTTGCACCTTCTCCCTGCAAAGGAAGTTACTTGCCTTTATGTCATTTATAGACTGAGTTGATTTAAGAACAATATTTAAAGCTGCCCTCCTTCTGTCTTAAGAAAGCACTTGTTACTTCCTGCTACTTGTGAAATCCCAAAATTCAATCTAGACATTTCCAGGAAGCATGTCTCTCTTGGGCTTGGAAGTCTCATTTGGAAGTGTTTAGCTTTTATAAAGATGAGACAGAAGAAAAAACATTCACTTTTTCACATCAAAAAAGTAATTCTTAATCACTTCATTGCCAGGTAATAACCCTTGTACATCTTGCTCCAGAGAAGAAAAAAAGGTAATTCTAGAGCAATATTGCACCTGATCCACCCTCCATCTTTCAGGGAGATCCTTACTTTGGCATTTCCAAACAAGAGTTTGCATTCTGAATACCATGTTTAATAACCCTTACTAGACTTATATTCCATGAATAATTTCTTGTTGAACATATATATTTTAACATCCACCTTTTTCTGTGGTGGTAAGTTCCATAGTTTCCTTCTATGTTATTTATTTTAAACTTGTTGTTTGATACTTTCATGAGCTTTCACAATTATTCTCACATTGTGAAAAACAGTGAAAAATTACTCCTTATTCACCTTCTTCCCCTATTCCTTTTTGAAGAAACAGCTTCCATGTCCTCCTCAATAATTTCACTTCTAGTCTTTAGGACTGTAGTCTACTTAGTCTCTCTAGATGTAAAAGTTGTTTCAGATCTATCATTGTATTTGGTCCCTTTCAACAGCTCCTTTTGTTACTCCATTTCCTCAAGCGTTTGTTTTTTGGTTGTTTTTTTTTTTTTTTTCCCCAATCTGTGAAATTTTATGCAGATAATAATACTTTGAAGAATTTTGAAACTGCAAAAATAGGTACTGGAATGTATTTGGAGAACCTAGAAGTAGTGCTACCAATTTTAAAATGCATTAAAAGGAATTTTGTATAACTACCACGACTTCAGATTTATCATTGGAGATCAATGACTGTTGCCTGCTTGGCTGGCAAAGTACTCTGTTCTACTGACATGATTCATCATTGCTGCATCTTAATTGTACTTTGAGATACAAAGCATATCAAGCAATCCTTAATTATAAGAGTAGATGCAGCCAAACTAGTCAGCTGTGTATTTAATGCAAAATATTGCCTCAGTTCTGCTTGCTCAATCTCTTTCTACAACCTCATTATTTGTCTTGTTGCCTGACATGCACGAAGATCTGAGATGAAGCCTTGAAGAGACCTTTCTGTGTTGTTGCTTCATCACACATGATCCCTAGCCGTGGACCAGGAGGGAGGTGTAGGTTCTCTGACCCAATGATATGACCTCAGATATTGTTAATCTCTCTCTCACTTGAAGCTGTGGCATGGGGAAATCCTCTGATACATCTCTCAGAAAAACATTTGATAACCACAGGGTAAGATGGGAATGGTACTGCATAGCAAATCCAGATCTTCATCTTTCAGAAAATTTTCCTTGATTTTTCCTGTGCAAGAGTCTATGGAGCCAATTATTGTTGCTTACAGTGAAACAGGAGAAACAAAAGAATCAAGAGATCGTTTCGGCATCCTTTCATCTAGGTGGTCACATAGTTGTATTCACTCAAGCAAAACAAGCAGTTAATTTGTTTATTTTGCATAAAACACCTCTCCCCACATGAGGATAGTCCACGTTTTTAACATGGACTGTTAACAGTGGTGTTTTCCTTTCCTGCTTACTCGCTTCCCACCACTTTCCTGTCATGTGACTCACAGTCTTGCACAACTGCAAGACTGCTGCATTAGTGTTAGAAGGAACAAGGCATCCAGCTCTCAGTCAGCACAGTTTGTTTGACTGTCATTTCAGGGTAATTAATAATGGCTTAGCCTGGTGGTAATGATTGTAGAAAGCTTTTTTCTCTTAATTTCATCTTTGTCGGAACCAAGATTGAGGGGGATGAAAAAATTTGCTCCTTTCAGACACATTTCCCAAGGTGCTACAAACCATTACCAGAATTACCTCTTGTTTCTGAAAACACACAATGTGGTCTTTTTTATCTACCTGTAGCAGAAACTCTTCTTTCTTCGATAGAAAGTACTTATCCTCAGAAACACACTCAAGTCTTGAAACCAGTCACAAAGCATAGGCATAACCCTCAAAGAAACAGCAGCAAGCAGCACAGACTGACTGGTTTGTAATAATTAGTTTACATAAACAGTAAGTTATTTCAGAAACAATAAGAAAAAGTTGCTATACAATTATAAACAAATATTATGTTGCCTGTACTCCGAGACACCACTAAGAATGGAGATACTTACAGGCATCCACTCGCTGGAGATTTCTCATCCGGATGATCCTTACGGTCAACAGGTAGCAGGGAGAGGATTCTATCTGTAGAAGAACAGTTCAAAATGGAGTCTGAATAAGCCTTTGGTAGGAAAAAAGTTTCAGAAGTGCAAACTAACCGGGTGCTATAATAATTCAGTTGGTAAAATTTGGGTTCAGCATCTCACTACTCTGCAGAAGAAAATCTGCAACATAAGCTTCTGCTGTTAAAGAAGTCAACATTTTTCTATATTTCACTGTCTTTTTGCTTTGTTACTCTGAGAGTGTGTATTGCTCATCAGAGCAGAAAAGAAAGGGATAAATCCCTGAAAACTCATACAGCCTGTGAGATGCTTGCAAAACCTCTTGCTCTGAAGCTGCTGAGTTTAGCTCTACAACATAGTTACAGTAAGTCTCCTGAACAGAATAAATGCACTGGTGAGCACCATGGTGGAGTTGCCAAAATACTGACAGTCTTACACAAAGTTACAGTCAATCCTCTTAGTAAACACCCATGAGGTCCCACTGCATTGAAAAAAGTGCTGTGGAGAATGTCTGTTGTCATGGACTGCCATAGGATAAACCTGAAGGACCAGGCTTTAAGAGGTGTTTTTGCCTTCTGCTTCAAAAACATAGATTTCTTTGGTTTTCCATTTACAGTTGTAGGAGAAAATGAGTAACAATAATCTGAGCTTTTGTAAATCATAACTGTGAGATAAACCAATGTCTGAAAATTGTTTTCAGAGGATTTAGAGGGCAAAGAGTTAGGTATGGGTTGCCTTTGGAGAAAAATAAACAACACTACCTTCCTCCAAAACAAACTTGAAGATTGAAAGTGCTTAAGTTCCTTTGTTCTCTTTGAATGTCTCAGCCTTAATCTTCTATAAAACAAGTCTCTCCAGATTTTGTGACTGCAGAGATCTCCTCCTATTTATTATTAGAAGATAAATGTGATTTCCTTCTTCTAAGGAAGGCGATTTCCTGCTGGCTCATTACATAAACCTGTCTCTGGCTCAGACTTATCTGCAAAAGGCTTTTCTGACCAAGGCAATAAATAAATCAGCATTTCCCGTGGCTGTGACACACAGTCATTTCCTCACACTCCTAGAAACATTTCCACCTGAATAAGTGGTTACAGCAGTCCTCCAAATCATTCTTTTTGACAACTGCTATTTTTAACAACTGATTTCCTCTCATTTAGGAGCATCCTATTTCTGCACTACTTCAGAGGCTTCCTATAATGACTATAAAGAAGCAGGCAAAATAGATGTTAAGGCAGATAAAGATGGAAAAACCTCACTTAAAACAATATAAGTAATGTGGCCAATTTTTTTATCAAGAGAACAGAGAGAAAGGGTCTTATTTTCAGATGGAAAGACAGTTATGCCTCCTTTGTGACAAAAGATTACTTTTTCAATGTGTGATTATAATCCTCTCTTCTCTAACACATCATGTTATGTTAAAATCTCTTTGCTGAGCTCTTGAAAAGCACTCCTGTTTCCACCCATGTTATATGTGCCTCAAGAATTCTTTGGGGTTTTTTCCTTTTTCAGTGCTTCTTCATGATTCAACCTAAGAAATCCATCCACTTTTCATTTCAAGTGTTCTCAAAGGAGAAAAAGCCTAACAGAAGCTGCAAAATTTGTAAACTACTGATGGAAGGGTATATCCTCAGAACTACCCCATACAAGGACACTGGTTCACATTTCAAAAACAGTATAGCCAAAATAATACAGTTCTACACCTGGTTAATTAACCCTTCTTCTCAGCTGGGTAATTAGCAAAGGTGGATCACCACACTCACATGTTAGGAATGAGCTTGGGCACCTCAGCATATGCCCTAGAAGGCAGAAACTCATTGTTTCTTAGGATCTAACTAAACACAGGGAAATTCTTGCAGGCATTTATCTCTAGGGATTGCACAAGGTACTGCTACCTCCTGGATCAGCTCCAGATATGCTTCCTCTGACAAGTGGCATTGCTTGAGGAGAAGAGGTGGGTTGGGGTTTTTTTAATGATTATTACATATTTTCTGCCATTTGATCACTTTCCTCCTGGTTCCCATGTAATGACTTTCTAATATGTTAGCCAGAGTTCCTCATCTGCCACAGGGAAATCAATTCTCAGAGATGTAGGTTTCACAAAAAAACTTATTGAAATTAAAAATAATTAAAAAAAAATCATTTGCTTAACTGAAGCTACAGAAATCAGGCCCTGTGCTTGCACTAGGGGAGAAGTACGTGCCACCAGCCAGTTACCTGAGGAAAAGGTAGCAGCCAGGCATCAGCTGTCCTGGCAGTCCTCGCATGTGCCAGTGGGAGTAGCAAAGACAACTGGGAGAGTATAAATCACCTGGTGATCAGGCCTTGCTAGTTATTCTGCTCCCAGGAGGATTTGCTATTTTAATTAATTCCAGTAACATCTTAAACAAAAGAAATGTATTTAAATAGCAACTGTGACAAGCATAACATGATGTACTAGGATCTAGTTATAGAGACAATGAAAATAGCAGTCATGTATTTATGAAACAAAAGACAGAAGTTCTGTTATGCTGTTTACTTAACTTGTACTATGATTGCTTTAAAAAAAAAAAAAAGAAAAAAAAAAGGCTGCTGTTGTGCAATGGTATTCCACACATAGAAAGGTTTCCACCACTGCCTTTAATGGTGCAACACCCCAAGCAGCGTCCTGCCTTCCTCTGTAGTGACATACTACAACCATTTAGCACTGTCACATTTTAAGTTTGCTTTTCATAAAATCAAGACTCATGTAGTCACTCTGTGACTGTTTCACTGATTGTCAGTTTGTCAGCTTGTCCTCAGTTTTGTGCTTTCCAAATTGTGCTCATGTATGTATAGCACAGCAGAGCCTTGTGCTATGCCAGTGCATGAGCAGGGTGTGCATTGCTAGTTTCTCTGAACTCCCAGGGAAATTAAGTTTTACTAGGATTTTGCAAACAGCAGCTCCAGCTGACCTCACAGTCTCCAGAGCAGACCTCATGGTCTCTTCTTTCTGTTTTTCAGTGCTTCTTGTGAAAAACAAATTACAATGTCGGTAAAAGTAAAGGATTCCTCTGTCATGTGAATTATTCCAACTTTCTTCCACCAGATGAGTATGAATTTGAGAACAGAATTCCTCTGTCATGAGCACTCTGGTGATGTAGGCTGTCTGCATTCCTGGCAGATTCCTGCCTCCATAGGGCTATCCCAGCTCTCTTTAAAGTCATGCTTATATTGATGTAGGTATGTGTGGCATGCATCCATCTTGAGAACCACTGCTGTAAATTACTCCACTGGTTTAGCTGTATAATATATCCTGTCACATCATACGTGGCTGTGGAGCTCTAAACTGGCAGTACTCCTTATTGAGACAATAGTTTATGAGACCAGAGGATGGCTATACTTCTTTACCTTTTTTTACTTGCTTTTCTCTCAGTACCTTTCTTGATTCAGCCTTTAGGGTTCTTCAGAGTATTCCAGCATGGGCTATTGCTATCAACATCTTCCCAGCTTGTGATATCAATGGTATGAACACCTATTGTAGACTACCAGTCACACAATTGCACAACAGTACAGTCAAATGTGTGCTGGGTGAATGTGTATTTGGGTTTTTTTCAGTGTTAGCTCCTTGTTTTAGCACAGATGTTTGATCAAATAACAGAATATTGTAGCTGCCTTCCCCAAACAGAGAGCAGTCATCCAAAAACACTGATCCAGAGAGGAGAATTTATTCTTGAGCCAACACATTCTGATTGATTGTTGCTCTTTTAGATTGGCATTTATTTCAAAGCAATCATAAAATAGCAGGAAAAAAGATAACGCAGATCATGAAATTCGTACTTGATTTGTGTGTGTGAAAGCCATATCTTCATCAGAAAGCATCCAAGCAGGTGCCTTTACTACATGAAATGTGGAATGTCTTCCATCTGATCTCATGACTAGGTGGTCTTTGTCATGCTTGGGGAAAAACTGTGATGAGGAAGCAGAGAAAACTCTGTACCACAGTGTGCTGATACCATTACCTATTTAAGTGCAACTGCACCACATACTACTTCACAAACCATCCTGCAAAGATCAGACAAGATTTAAAAATATCTTCAGTACTGCCGGTCTACTTTTACAATGGCTGAAAAAGGCCATTTCTACAAACCAACATGAAAAAATGGGTGTTACGTGGTCATGTAAACCATGAAAAGAACTTCCTCTCTATCCACACATTTTCCCTGCAATCACCCAGTAATAATGCCTCTGTCTGTTTCTATGTGATCTCCTAACACAGCAGCCTTTCCTGGCAAAGATAGTTCCTTGCCTTGACTAAGATACCCCTGCATTCCTGGCCCTGAGCAGCATTCTGTTGAGATGAAATCACTCCCAGGATGTTACAGGACACTCCTTTCTTCATCTCCAGGTGCTAACTTAACTAGGTGGTAGCCAGGGACCAACTCAAAAGAATGAAAATACTTCACTGCTGATGGTGCTAGAGCTGGTATCTTGAGCTGACTGAGAGTCAGGTCTCCTTAAAGACTGTGCACCCTTAAGTTTTTTACAGTTGCAGGTGAGATGCTCCAGGCTGTGAAAATCACTCAGCGAGCCCTTTCTCAACCTGCTAGAACCTATCTCCCACTGCTGTGGAATGCGCCAGGGGTCCCCTGTGGCATGCTGCCCAGGCTGAGGGCAGTTGGCTGCTGCATTTGGCTACATTTGGTCTCTGAAGCATTTCCTAGTTCTTCACAATCTCAGACTCCACAATGGCAAAGTAGATGCTCTAATTGCTCCCTTCCTTCACCTCCTCCAGGCACTGGGGCTGAGCATCTCAACAGAGGGCTGTGGGGCTGTGTGGGTGCTGGGAGTGCTGATGGTTGCTGCTGCCACAGTGGTAGTTTTCACAAGCTGTGTGTTTCATGGTTTTTATTAGTAATATATCTTCTAATCAGACCACTTTTTCACCAGAAATAAAGAAAGTCTGGGTTGAATATTGGTAAATTAAAAACTCCCACACCTGGACAGAAAAGCCCCTTTCATGCACACAGCCACAGTAACCTTGATTGTAGCAGGGAAAATTTATCTGTGTTCACAGGAGCATGACAGGCACAGGCAAAGTCTCAAGAATTTTTTTCAAATATTGATCAGTACAGCATGGTTACTCTCATGGCACAGTGATCCCATCAATGCAGAGATTTGTAATTAATTTATTTCTATTTAATAAATAAATTAATTATTATTTCTATCACTTAATATATAAATCTGCAGAGATTTACTATTTGATTGATAATTCAGGCTAGTTGCATAGCTGTTTCGGTACTGTCAACATTGCCCTCCATCTTGTAGTGTTTACAGATGTTTAACAATCAGACTTTTTCAGATTTTGAAACATAGGTCTATTTAAAAACTTAGAACATTCAGCTGCATGTTCAAAATTATTTCCACATGCAGAACCGTAGCCAGGGGAATAGGATAGTCTATCTTTAAAAAAAACAGTGTCCTTTTATAGTGCTTTGCCCTTCCCAAGTAAAATAAACCCAAGAGAAAGAAATCAGACTGAGCATTAACCATCTGAGGATCGAGACTCTTTACACCTAATTCCAGATAGCTTTAAAATAAGTGTTTACATCTGACAGCTGTTGAGCATTTCTAGATTCTCATCCTAGGGTAAACATTACCACTGGACATGCATCGTACTCTGAGAATCTCTACTTCTGACTACTGATTCCCAAGGGCATATAGAGGTCTATCTAAGACACAGATGTTCTTCATTCTTTTGTCAAACCATATTTCAAACTTATGAGCTGATGGGAAGTGGCCTCATTTGACTTTATGAGGTTCATTTTTTAAGTGGGACGCGTGCTGGAACATGTAATTTCAGTAGTCTGTATTTTAGGCATCCCCATACCACCACTCAGGGTGGCAGGAGAGGCTCCTGGGCTCAGAACAACTTCTGCACCTGAACAGAGCTGCTGCTGATGTCATGTTCCTGCAAGCACCACGGGGCTGGGTATGACTTGACCTGAGATGCGATGCATCTTATCCTTGTTCAAACATGGCTTATGCTGAATTCAGAACTATGTATCCAATTGTTCCCCTTAAATTCCCTCACATGCATTATTATATGAGACCTCCTGCAATCCTTATATATTTTAATATAAACACTGATGTTGGATATACCAGAGCTGACCTTGCCTGCTGCTTTTATCATGGGGCAAAGTACCAGCCAAGACCCGAATAATACAGATTTCTTAACGCAGATAAAAATCAGCATGTTGGCAGAAAGGCATATGGAGTTGCTGGAATATGTTGCCATACATTTCTAACAGGTAATCCCTTTTAGCAGGCAGAAACCTTCATGTTTAAGTCTTCTAGAAGTTTCAGTGATGAAAAATTTGCATTTGAGAAAAACAGAGCAGAAAAGTATGGATGTGTTCCTCACACAAACATATCATATATTGCAGTAATCAAATAATGATCATGCAAGTGCACAGGATAGAGCTCTATATTCTGCTCATAGACGAAAACACAAGGTCTCTGTAACGAGATGCAAGAACAACTCAGTCCCTCACAAAGGCATTCTCATGAATTTTGGGGATTTTGAAATATAAAAACTGATCTGTGTGAGACGGGCAATATAGTGGTCCAAAAGAATGTTATGGTCCCATACTCATCAGATGATTCTTTTGGTCCACTACTGTCACCCCTGCCCACTCGAAATTTCATGACCCTTAAATGTCTTTGATCTAAATCTATATCCTGAGCCCATAATGGAAAAACAAACACATCACTGTGTGGGATTAAGAAATGGAGACAAGAAGTTACTTGTTGTAAGTATAATTATGATAAATAATTATAACCCAGGAGTTCAACTCTTTTTTCTTTCCCTCATCATGATTTTAGGTTCCTTATCACTTGTAAGGAGCAGACATTAAACCAAAAACTGATCAGTAATTTTTTTCAGTTCTTACTGTCTACAAAATTCATCATCCTATACATGGTCCAGAATTTCAGTATCCTACCAGGCTGGAGATACCAGACATTGTAAGCTAAATATTTGCAAGATTAAATGCCACAAAGACCCCGGAGTAATAGAATATATCCTGTGAAAATACAGTATAATCTTTTAGTGACAGTGATTTTCACTTTTTTAATAATAATCCTAATATTGGGAAAACACAAAAGCTATACTTTGAAATGTGCACATGAAAAAAAAACCAAAAATACTGTGAATATGAATTTGTTTAAATTTCTTGATGCATGAATTGTACCAGGACTACCTGGTAAGCAGCTTATCACAAAGTTCACATCTACCTGTTCACAGTATTACTTCAATTTTCAGATAAAGATTCTTTTCATCTTGATTTTGGCTCAGCATAACCTGTCTGCATTAAATATAGTTCAAATTTCCACAGAATTATCTGCCTCGGAAGCAGACATTTTGTGGGACAACACTGTTATACAAATCACACTTGAACCTCTCTAATCTTGACATATAGGAAACAAAGCTTATATTTACTGCACAGACAACAAAGCAGAAGAAAGAGAACCCCAGTCAAAATCAGTACTGTCTAACAAAAATAAATCTATGACTGATACTCGAGCACAAGACATAGTCCTACCACATTCAAGCATCATTCCTTTTACAGAATCACTTGTCTTTTCCTGATGGAGCAAGGAAGTGCTGCAGCCATTTTAACAGAGCATACATAACAGTTACTTTTTCTCTCTCAGTTACAGAAAGAATCATGGAACAGAAAGCTTATCAATGGATTTCTTTTGCAAGTAAGTGAGGGATTAAAATGGAAGATATTCTGCCTTCTCCAAATAAAATGTAACAGAGAAATACAACAAGCAATTATGAAAACAGCCGCCTGGTCTGGTTGAAGGTATCCCTGCTCATTGTGGGGTTTGGAACTAGATGACCTTTAAAGGTCCCTTCCAACCCAAGACATTCTATGATTCTATGAAAATCATAAACATAAGTAGAATAAAATGATCCAACTATAGACTTAAGGGTGTTTCCCTTGCAACACGCAAACTGATGTCATCATTATCTATCTACCTGAGCCTTCTCCCTGTTTGGTTCCCAATTCTTTTGTTCATAATACCTTGAAATCACCTTTGTCTGGCACAGTAGTTTCGTCTTTCTTTTCTTGAGGTCCACCATCTCTCCAAGAATTGAAGTCTGAGTCTTCATCCTGAAGAAAGAAAGAAATGATAAACAATAGTGTTAAAACAACAACAGAAGCATTATCAGGGTAGATAATTAATTTCTACTTGCAATAATTTATGCTGAAACCTCGATTAGAACAGCTGTTGGCTACACCCAGCTGAGTTAGTGCACTCAGATTAATGAACAAACCACCACATGTTTTGGCACACACTGGTACAAAAATCCCTATCAGGGGTACCCTTTCAACAAGTCAATGAAGGAAGAGCCATCACAGCTGTGAGGTACCCAAAAGGTGTCTCTGTAATTATTCTGTGAATAAAGGTTTGCTTTTTGTTTTGAATGTTATCTTTTGGCAATTTGCTCCTGCTCTTAGCCATGTTAAACCTCAGTTTGAAATATCCTAGAACATATTCTCTGAGTTCGAACATAGAACATGAAACTTGTTGCAGTTGCAAAATTTTAAATTTAACATTTCAATTTTTTTTCAGGACATTAAAGTTCCAAAATAATTCTACAATGTAGGGTGCCTCCTTTTGAAACACTTTGCAGAACACCATTAAAGGACGGTTTCTACAAGAAAAATTTTGAAAATATTCTGTTTATGTTTTCAGAATATTTCCTGAAGTGATGTGCCTTCATTTAGTCAGGGAGCAAACAGAACAATGCATAATGTACTACAGTTTAAACTAAAGGCAAATCTTGAAATGATGCAGAGAATGCAAAGCAAAATGGAAAAGTCAGCACCAAAAAGGGAACATGTAAATAAAATTCAATTCTCTATTCCTGGTCTCTCTCCATTTTTAATAACAAAAAATATGGGTTTGAGACATTATTTTACATGTAAAAATTTTGCTATTGATAAAGAAATATGACGTTTGTAATAAAAGTAGCATTCCATTACAAAAGAAAAAAGGCATTTTAAGTCTCGGTCTGGATTCAGGCTGATAATTCAACCCCTGAAGAATGTTTCCTTCCCTGTTTGTTTTTTCCATTTCATCATCTTTTTATGTCCCCTTAATGCCCTGACTTCTCTCAGTTTTTCTATGAAGATGAGATCTTTGGCTCCTGTGGATTCAGGGGGACCTTAACCACTGAGACCCTTTCAGGGAATACTTCACCTTAAACTCCTTAAGGCAGAGACACTGCTGCCTAGTCCCATCAGACAACAAGTCTGTACACTAGCTTGAATACAGATATAACAAACAAAGCAGGATTTTGTTTTCTGTCAAATGCAGAGAATCTTAAGCAAATTTTTAAAGCCATTTTCTTACCTCTAGTCCTTTTGCCTTTGATGACATCATGGTCTTCCCTGGATTCATGTAATAGAGTACTTCTGGAACCTCCATGGGCAGCAATTCTTGGGTCATGTTTCCAGAATATAGTTCTGACACCTCCGTGGGCAGCGATTCCTGAGACACATTTTCAGGATTTACCTCTACATGTAGGAATCCTTTACACATGTTTTCGGGATTCACTTCTGGCACCTCTACATGTAGGAATCCTTTAGACATGTTTTCAGGATTCACTTCTGGCACCTCTACATGTAGGAATCCTTTAGACATGTTTTCAGGATTCACTTCTGGCACCTCTACATGTAGGAATCCTTTACACATGTTTTCGGGATTCGCTTCTGGCACCCCTACATGTAGGAATCCTTTAGACATGTTTTCAGGATTCACTTCTGGCACCTCTACATGTAGGAATCCTTTACACATGTTTTCAGGAGTCACTTCTGGCACCTCTTCATGTAGGAATCCTTTAGACATGTTTTCAGGATTCACTTCTGGCACCTCTTCATGTAGGAATCCTTTAGACATGTTTTCATTATATACTCCTGGCAACTCCATGGGCAGCAGTTCTAGAGACGTCTTTTCAGGACATACTCCTGGCAACTCCATGGGCAGCGGTTCTAGAGACAGGTTTTCAGGATCTATTCCTGGCACCTCCACAGGCAGCACTTCCCAAGACATGTTTGCAGGATGTACTCCTGTGGGAGTCAGTGACAAGTTATTTTATAAAATTACCTGAGGCCCCACCCATCTCATCTCTATAAGTAAAGGACTCCCCTCCCACTGCCAAAGACAGTGGAGTGCCAAGGATAGACTGCTCCAGGGAAGGACCTTGCAGCACTGGCACAACAGCCAAAAGGAATGCGGTATCTTCCTCTGGCTGGGAACTTCTCCCACCCTGTGCCTGCCCTGTGGGTCCTGCACTGCTGCCACCCTTTTGCTGTGGTTAGCATTGTCATGGGCTGTGCAGCCAAGCGGAGAAGAAGCACAGAGAGTACCATCACTGAGACCTGCTCCTTCAAAGTCATTTCGTCCCCACTGTGGCACAGGGACCGCCCTGAGCAGGGACAGCTCCTATATGGGGGACACTGAACCCTGAAAAAGGCTTCTGAGTATAAATACCTACCACTGACTTACCTGTGTGCAGGCACACACCTGTGCACTTTGGTCAAAGCCTTTTGTCCCCCCATAGGTGGGGGGACCTGAACTCGCTGCCTGGAAAGAGGCACTGCCCTGTGCCACACAGTAACTCCCTGGGAGAGGGCCACCCCCACTGCCTGACAGATCACTGCACGGACCTGCATCTCCCAGCTCCTCCTGGGCGGCTCCCATTTCTTCTTCCCAGGGGAGCGAGGCTAAGGTGTGGGCACAAGGCTGCGTCTTCAGTTTGCAGAGGTGAGCTATAGGAAGAGGAGGTGAGTGAGTAACATGGAGTAGCAGTATCAGATTGTGTGTGACAGGACAGTGGGGGAGAAGGAAGGGGTTAACAGGGGTCTTAAGGTCATGCAAGCATGACCCAGGATTACTGCTGCATCTGGCAGTACATTAAATACAACCAAAAAAAGCAAGGAAATGTGTAATAGCTGTGCAAAGCTGGTAGAAGTTATGCTTTTATAAATTTTTCAGAGAAAGGCAATTGAACTTTACATGACAACTGTGGGAAACTCCTGTTGAGATGAATGGAATATAGTATCCAGTGGATAAGTTTTATTAGTTTTATTTTACAGAGATTTTGTTCAACCAAAGAGCATGAAAGAACAAAAGAGTACATGAACATCTCCAGGCATACCCAGTAGAAATTACCATCTTCAAAGACAGAAAAACAAATAAATAACAAACTAGCAGCTCCAGTAACTGTAGGCTGTGTCATAGCATCTGCATTTCCAGCATGAAAAGTAGCTCTGCCCACACTGGAAGTTCAAGAGCATCTTTTGGCCTCAGGCCACGGACACGGTGTGCTGCATCCTGGAGAACTCCTTTTGCAGCTTAATTTAGAGAACAACAATCATTCTTTTTTTTTTTTAATCTGATCAGAAAAGAAGATCTGGTTGACCTTGGAAGACCTGTCATGGGACACTAAGAATACTCGTTATTAGAGCAGGCCAACTTTGCCCAGGTTGATTAGTTCAGAGAACCATTAGAATAAGTGATGATAAGTGACAGAAACCCCTCTGAAGTTGGTGAACCTTACAAAAGTTGAGATTCCCTGTCCTCAAGAAAACCTGTGGAGAAGAAGGATGGATTTTGTGTAGAGGCTTCCACATCTGAATGGAGTGAATTCCCCATAATACGCATGCTTGGCTATCTAGAATGATCTTAGGGCCTTCAGCTAAATCAAGTGCTGAAGTCACTGCTCTGAGTGACTCCACAGGGAATGCCATAAAGAAAACTCCAAGGCTCTCATTAACAACTGAACTAGTGCTATTTCATCTAAAATCTGAATGCACAAAGCTGGAAGGTTTCAATTTGTAGAACGAAAAGTAGAGGCTTCAAGTGGAATGATTTTATTTATTTACATTTCATATTTCAGTAATTTAAGGATAGATTAAGCAAAATATTGTTTTCAAAGATTTAACTGTAGTTGCCCTGGCAGCAAACCACACACTACTCCTTTAGTGTAGTACTTATCACAGTTTTATCTTGCTTATCAACATAGAATGTGCCAAAACCAGCACAGCCTTGTACATCCTCTACTGCTTAGTTTTCTTACTCACACTACAATGCAGCTTGTAGAAGCATCACTAACTTGGCAAAGGTACCTGTATTACATCTGACTAAAGAGACAAGCTGTGGAGAAATGGAGTTCCATGACAAACATGTTTTTCAACATGTTCAAATGTAGCTTTGTGATTTCTTTTGTCACAGTCTTGGACTAGTTTGAAACTGCTGATAGCTGGGTCCCCCTAAACGCCTTGCAATAGTATACATTTGCCTAGCCTTCAAACAGGCCAGGCAAAATGAGCCTGGGGTTATTCTGACAAAGTGGAAACATAACCAAGACTGGCTATTGACCATCTCATTATTCTCTGATATCTAGATATTTCTATACAAAAAACAGCTCTGGAGAGCAGAGTCAGATGGGCATTCTGGCTTGGCTACATACTCTTCCTGCTGGAGGAGTGCTGTCTTAGGCCATCAGTTTAGCAGTTAGTGAAGGAAGGATTTGTGGAGCAGGAGAAAAACTTCACAGGAGACAGGGGCACTACTGTTGTTTTTTATCTTAGCCCTGTAACAAGTAAGACAGAATCTTCTGGAAAATTATTTTAAAGCAAGTTTAAAAGTACTAGAATATACTCTAGTTAAGACATGATGATCATATTGAGAAAAGTATGGCACTTTATATCCATTATACAGAGGCATCAGCATTTGTATACATGTAGCATATAACTAGAGCAAGACTCCGATACTGAGAGTTATTACTTTGCCAGTAGAGATACTAACATCATTCATGACTTTGTACAATATTGCACTCACAGTTAAATAGTCTTTATGTTTCTTTCACGCTACAGTTACTGATACACTGAATAAAGCCCAGAACTTCCCATACCTGTCTTAGAGCTGCCTAACTGAAGTGTAAATTTATGCTGCATTTTATCTCTCTCAGTCTTCATGCATTGCAAAACTACAGTCCTCAGTGGTTACCTGTACAGTGAGAAAGTCTTCTGTGCCTGGAGTTCCCTCACCATGGGATGCT